GAAGGAGAAGTGCTGAGATGTCCTCTTTAATATTTCTCTGCGGGGAACATTCAGTCACCTCATTAGGTATTTGAGGCGAGGCGAAACTTTAATCAGCTCTGAGGTTTTCAGCCCATCCGCTGCTTGTTTGTGACAATCTGCATTCAAAGTTTGAACAAACAGTAGAAAATGGAGCTGATGAACTTCATATGAGAGAATAATTGCAAAAGTTTTGCTGTTGATTTTAAGATTTAAGTGCTGGGGTGATCAGAATCTTAGTTTAGTTTGACTTTATTAATCCCCGGAGGGAAATTTACATGTGACAGCAGAGCTCTCCATACTAAAAATAGATAAATAAGTTACATACATATAAAAAACAGCCATAGCACACTGCTACGAGTGTGATATTGCGTTTATACAACAGTTCGACGGCACAATCTTGTACATAAAAAAGAAAATCAAACACAGATAGTCTAAAACCCTTTTGTATTAGGAACTACTTTCTTCCGCCATTCATTCACATCTGCAGCTGACGTCAGAACACTCAGGTCTTCTACTTCTATTCACCTCACTGTTCCCTCTGTCCGCCTTGTCACCATGGGGAGCAGATCATTCAGCCACTCTGCTCCTCAGCTTTGGAGTTCAGTTCCTCCTGATCTCCGTAATTTAACCTCTCTTTCACAATTTACTGTAAGTCCAGACTCAAAACACATCTGTTTAGAACAGCCTATTCTCTTTGACTCGAGTGCATTTTAAAGTTTGTATTGTATTCTATTGTTTTTATTGTGTTTTTATTTGAATTGATTGTTTTAGATGTCCTGTACGGCAAAGAGCTTAGAATGACCAAGAGGCGACACTCAATAGAACGTCCCATTGCAACAGCAGCGCCCAGTAACAGCCCCGGATTTCGCTATTTTGGAGTGAAAGTGATCGGCCGTCCATTGGATTTCATTACTGTCGCGATGGCAAGCAGCTGCTTTGTTTTTTATTTATTTATTTAAAAAGCGCATTAAAGCTGAGATACAACCTGAAAGACGACAATACAAGACTTATTATCACAATCATCAGCACTTTTAACAGTTTATTTTACAGACTTACAATATGCTGTGGTTCTATTGGAGTTTTCATTTCAAAATGGCTGTTTCCCAAATTACATGAGAGTGTCGCCTCTTGGTCATTCTAAGCTCTTTGTGTACGGCGATCTTGAGTGTCATGAAAGGCGCCTTTAAATAAAATGCATTATTATTATTATTATTATTAGGACAGCAGAAGCCATTACTAATTCACCAACGTCACTTTAGAGCTAGTATTTGAATGATTCTCTATAGCGTAATGTGAAGCGGCGCTTCTGGTGTGTGACCCCCTTAAGGTAATGACAAAACAGCAAATTTTGCTCACATTTTAAGATTATAAGGCTGAACGTGGCATGAAATGCCATACGTCTACAGAGATTTCTCACCAGACTGCTGTTGTGTTTGCAATAAGGAAGGACAAGGCTTAATTCAGCTTCTTATTCGCAGCTTTTTATTGACTATATCCAATCCTCCTTAAAAACCATGAGGCATCTGTTTTTAAGCTTTTTATTTTTTATTTACACTGAGCAAGTGCTTATTATGCGGTTCTTGCGCTATCTTGTGTAAAATTGTAAATATTTTAAAATAGGCACTATTCTTGCAAATGAACTGCATAGTTGCAATCTAAACAACTACATTCTCGACTAAAAAAGCCTCAAAAGTACATTTTGTTGTCTAACTGCAGTTATATTTGTCTAACTGTAGTATCTGCTTGTTGCTGGCTGTATGTGGGCGGAGTAATACACAAAGGGTAAAGAGGCTGTACGGATGCTGATATTACTTATATATCACGGCTATCAGCCAATCAGATTCGTTGTATGTAGAACTGATGTATAAAAAGATATAACGTTTCACAAGTTCAGTCCAAATTCAGAAAAACATATTTGAGGATTCATATTCTTATTAGAGTTTAGGCATTCATTTATTAATTAAAATGGAAGTAAATCTTTTAATAATTCACTGTTTAAATTCTGAAAGAAATATACCATGTACATAAATATGTAAACAAATCTAGTGGTGGGCAAAGTGAGGCTTTATGAAACACTAGCTAGTGTTTCCTCTAGGATTTTTTCCAGCTGTGGTGGCAGGCCTTTTTTACACAGATCTACCAACCTACTTGTGGTGTTATTTCAATGACAAATGTCATGAGCGCAGTATTAAGTCGAGATTGCTTTTATGTAACAGCCTACGAGCATGCGAATCTCTATGCTTGCGCGCGCCGATTTCTTTTGCTCATGCACAAAGCTTCTTGCAGCCCCCTTCAAATATACACAGCTCAAGCGCAGATCTTCTTGTGCGCTCTCAAATAAACGCAGCTAAAGTACGATTAATTAGTTTATGTACCGAGTACGTCTCCAGTATTTATTAGATTTGCTAGGAATATTTATAAATGTCTCCAATAGACATACAGAGCGGTATTAATGCGTCCTGAAGTAAAGTGAAATGGCTATATGTCATGTTTGCCGGCCTCACGCATCAGTTAGTCAGACAATCAGTCAGTCAGCACGTAACCTTTTACAGAAAAGTTTGCGCTGTTGTAATTCTCTTTGTAGATTAGAACCCGCTATTAAATAAAAACACGACTGAATGTTATGAATGAAATGCTTTAATGTAGCTGTGGCGGGATCAATTTTGGCATGAATGTAATGGAAACCATGCACTAGCTATGTTTTCATCCAAAAATGTGAATTAACTTTATGCGCAAAACTGGATTATGGCACAAAAGACGTGCGTATAAAGTTACGTTTCCATCCAACAAGTCAAAGAGAACAAAATCGTCACTTCCTAATTATCCAACTATCAACAGTAAAAACAGAATTTGCTGCAGTTGAAGAAGCTGCATGAATCTTTTTCTCATTTAATAAATGACTTGCGCCTCAGAAGACAATCCTGACAAGCAGTGAGTGAACACGCGGTGGCGTTTGAAGGAGTGAGATGCAGAACACAGACGCTTTTTGATTCAACAGGTCATTAATAATATAATAACACTATTACTGAAATGGTTACAGCGTTTTAGAATGACCAGAACAACTTTTCAGATGTTTTAGTGTGCTCAGCCTGCATGTTTTCTTATCGAATAAAAAGTTAATCCTACTCATATGTTTTTTTTTATGCGCATTTTAAAAATGTATGTGCATCTTGGTGTTTCCGTCAACCATTTTTTAATGTGCATATCCAAAATGTTCATTAAAATAGGTGGATGTTGTCTTGTATGTAACTGGAATCTTTTTTCTGTAATCCTTTTGTCTTTTCTTTCTCTGTCCAGAACCTCAAGCTTCTTCCATGTTAACCTACCATTGTAGGATAGCACAGCATTATCCCTGATCGTTTCACTCATTACTTTTGCCACTCTATTTATATATGTATTTATTATTATTTTATTTATTTATGTATTTATTTATTTATTTATTCATTTTCTTCTTTTATTTAAAAAAAAGATTTGGCAGCTTTTTTTAGTATTATTGTTTTTTTTTAAATTAATTTTCCTTCTTTTTTGTTTTATTCATTTATTTATTTTTAATATCCTTCTTTAGGCAATGTATTTAGCGTTTATTGAAGTTGTTTTTATATGTATAAAAAAATAATTCTCTGTATAAACAATGTAATTTGTTCTTGGCATAAAAATAAAGGGGAAAAAATAGGTGGATGGAAACGTAGCTACTGAAACAGTCGAAGCGAATGCGTCGAAGCTTCAAAATGTGACACCTAGTGGTCATTTTATGTATTGCTCTGGTACAGCTTCAGCAAAAAAACAGTTAAACAAATTGAGGTAATAAACCCCACGTTGTAAAGTGAAGTGGTGAAAGTTCCTGACTAGCAAGCAGAGATGATGGGATAAAATCCAGGGAGACATTAAGACATTTTAAGACTTTTTAAGACCCAGCGGACATTCTAAACAGCAAAAAAGCACTTACTCATGCTGGACCTGTATGCTTCAGAGTTGATCTTACTCCCTGTACAGCAAATGACAAGATCTGTGGTGACCTGTTCATTCTTATTGGTCTTGACCACCATGCCGCTCCGACACACATTCAGTTCCAGCTCTTCAAGGTTTGACACTTTCTGCCCTGCATTCAGACACATGGGAAGAGAACTGTGACAAATATGCAAACATGATGTTCCAGATATGAACTGATGCATAGTGCATGTTTTTAAATGTATTGGAGAGTTCTTGCATAAACAATTTCAGGCCAATTAAAAATGGCCACTGAAAAATGGATACAGGATGTGTTAAAATAAAAAATGTTCACCCTTAAGCCTGGTTTATACTTCTGCGTCAAGTGACCGGCGTAACCAACGGCGCATGCAACGCGCGTGGCTGTGCATTTATACTTCTGCGCGCTGTCTCTGTTAGTCTGCATTAACACTTCCGAAACGCTAGTTGGCAGTGAGGTGTAAATGTTCCTCTGTGTCGAGTTTCTCCGCTGCAATTTTGCTTTTCCTGAACACTTCCTGGATGTACAAGTGGCTCAAACTCACTCATTTTGAGGCAGGAACCGGCGGACGTGCAACAACTTTAACTATGAGATAAACACAAAACAAAACTTTCCATCCGGAGCTCCTTCACGGGACTCCACACTTGTAAACAATCGCTACATTGGGTTCGCGCCATTCGCACGGCTCTCGGTCCCGCCCAGACTCGTCAGCGCTACCAAGCCGACCAATCACAGAGCTTGCGCTACGCGTTGTTGCGACGTGTAGTTACATTTTTTTGAGAGGTGCACGTCAGTGACGGCCACGGCGAAGGGCTATGCATCAGCGCCGTAGCATACGCCGGTGTTTGACGCAGAAGTATAAATCAGCCTTTATCAGTATGTTATCTACAAGTAAACAAATCAATTGAGAGCTGCTAGGACATTGAATACTGAAGTTCTCTCAAATCATTTTTACTACAACCTTCTGTATTAGTGCTTATCCACATTCTGTTTCAGTATTTTCCACATTCATTCTCTGGTAAAGCATTTAAACCAACTATGAGGTTATCAAAATTCACAATGTTGGACTTTGATTTAAAATAAAGTAGTATTAAAAAAAACAAAAAAACAAAGGCTCAATCACAATTCTACCCCTTACCCCTACCCCAGATTTTGTGCATTCCCGTGAAGGGGTAGGGGTGTCCCAATTCTCTTTAGCTTGAAGGCGTAGGACTAAGGGGAAGGGATAGATAGCCCTTCGAATGGAGATTTTTCAGGATCACACTGGAAACCAAGGGGTAAGAAAATTTCCCAGAATACACCAGCCACAATGGCAGGATAGCTGCACCCGGAAGTCACTTGACACACACTGTCAGAAAGGTCTATTGGCTGGGAATGTGCTTTTTTCAGTGTCTGCTATAATGTTAATGTTGTTTTTGTGTGTTTACATGAATATGGCCATGGTGTAAATGCAGAGTATAGTTGCTTTCTTATTGCCACATTAGATCATTATGATAACATAATATATGCCTTCAGTGGTTTCTTGAAGATAAATACCAAAAAAAACACAACTGGAATAACTACAGATCGTCTGATCTCATATGAAGCAAGAGATCGCGATGACATATGATGACGAGTGCAGATGCTGTAGTGCTGTCCCATTTCATAGGGGTCAATTTTGAAAGCCCATCCCCTACACACTTGGTTTTAAGGGCCAAGGAGTAAGGGTACAAAAATAGAATTGGGATTAAGCCAAAGGGCCCTATCATACATTCAGTGCAATAAGCCGCAAGATGTGTTTGGCACGATTTGTTGCTATTTTCAGACCAACGCAACTGTCATTTTCACGTTTTGGACCACGTTGTTTAAAAAGCAAATTCATTTATGCCACTTTGAGGACTCATGGGGGTGCTGGTCTTAAAAGGAGGTGTGTTAAGGTGCATTGTTGGCATGTTGCTATTTTGAGGAACTGAAATAGACCACGCCATTACAATACCGTTTTCTCATCCATAAAAGTAAAGGAGTAAAGTCAAGAGTAAATGTAAAGTAAAGAGAAAGAAAATAGGCCGAATAGAGGAGGCTTGTTCTTTATCCTCGTGCTGCAGATGACCTGTTTAACTGTTTTCTCGCTAGTGAAGCGTTCGGTTTTTCCACTTACAAAGTTTGCGGTGTAAATAGCAAATGCGCCATGGCGCAATGCAACCGACTCTTAAAGCGAATGAGAGATTTCACTCAGATTGGTTTAATGCATGTTATGCTCAAAACACACCCATTACTCATTAGAAGAATAAACACAACCCTATTAGACTACGCGCCAGGGCGAAGAGCATATTTTCCATCCTTAAATCGCAAAAGTGGATTCAGACGTGCCCTTAATGCTTTGCGCCATGTGCTTTAAACTTTAGGCTTAGATTGTTCAAATAGAGCCCAAAGGCATAAGACTGTGTACTTAAAGGGATAGTTTAATCAAAAAAATTAATTTGCTCACCCTTAGGTGTTTCAAACCTTAATGACTTACTTTTTTTTCTGTTGAATTCGAAAAGTATATTTTAAAGATTGCTGGAAACCTGTAATCATTAACTTCAGTAGTAAAAAAAATACTATAGAAGTAAATGGTTACAGATTTTCAACATTCTTCAAAATATCTTCTTTTTGTGTTCAACAGAATTAAAGAGGTAAACACATGATGACAATAAAAATTTTGGGATGAACTATCACTTTAAGAAAAAGTGGAATGTGACATGAAGGGTGCCCAAGTTTTTGAAGTTCCAAAAAAGCAAATCCATCTATCATAAAAGTAAGAAAAATATCAATAATTAAAAAAAAACTGTGCTGAACTTCACTATAGAAAATGCTGGGTTCCACACAAATCCCTCATGTTGTCCCAACACAAATTGTTTAAGTTTAATTAATAGTTTTTACATATTTAAGGACACTGTACATAAAAAAATTAAGTTGTCCCCCCCCCAAAAAAATAAGAATTGTATTGTTTCTACACATTTTAAATAAGTAGTTTTAACAAGTAATTTTTTGGGTATAATATGCATAATTTTCATCACTTATATCTTAATTCTACCATCATTTACTCTCCGCTTATTTCAAACCTGTTTGAGTTTCTTTCTTCTCTTGAACACAAACGATGACATACTGCAAATGGAGGAAAAGCAGCCATTGACTTCCAACATATATATATATATATATATATATATATATATATATATATATATATATATATATATATATATATNATTATATATATATATATATATATATATATATATATATATATATATATATATATATATATATATATATATATATATATATATATATATATATATATATATATATATATATATATATATATATATAT